GGCGTGCATGCCGGCGCCCAAGCACAGACGTGACGCACAGCAGAACTGACACCGCCTGCCCGCCCCGTCCCCTCCCACTGCTGCAGTCACCCTGCCCGCCAAGTGCGAGAAGAAGCTGTGGGACATTTATTACATCGGCGCCGAGGCCCCCACCGCCTCAGAGGCGCTGATCAAGAAGTGCACCACCTGCCCCCCGGCCCCGGGCAAGAAGTGAGCTGGCACCTTCCCCAGTGCGGGAGGAGCTGCAGGCAGCGTAGCTGGCCTTTCAAATCCTCCCGCTGCTCCCACACATCATTCATTCATTCATTCAGCAAGGATTCATTCATTCATTCAGCACACAGCCCGGCCGCCTCTTGCTCGAGGGCGGCCCACTTTGGCCTGGGCAGCCCGGGCCGCCCTCCCCCCCGGGCGCATGTTCGGTGTTGGAGGGGTGTGCCCAGCGATAGGGGGCCCCTGAAGGCATGCGCCGAGGCCGGGAAGCGTGGTTCGGCGCTGCTGCACGCTTGGCGATTTGACCAGAACCACGTGCCGCCGAGCTGCGGCCGCAGTTTCCGGCCCACGGTCTACGGTCGCAGCCACGGGACTCGGCGGCACGGCGTTTGGGCCCAAGCTTGCTGCCGCCGCCGCCGTGCCCGGGGGGCAGCGCGGCGGCGGCGGCGGCACGCTGCGACGCCCCCGTGCTGCCGAGCTGCGGCCGTAGTTTCCTGCCAGAAGCCCACGGCCACAGCCACGGGACTCGGCGGCACGGAGTTTCGGTCCACGGCTTGCTGCCGCCGCCGTCGCAGGGGTGCTGCCTGCGGCGGCGGCGGCACGGCGTTTGGGTCCACGGCTTGCTGCCGCTGCCGCCGCCGCAGGGGTGCTGCCTGCGGCGGCGGCGGTAGCGCACGTGGCAACCCCCCGCGTTTCCTTGCCTCCCATCCACCGGACCCCGTCCTGCGCTTCACTTTGTTTAGGGAGGGGCTGCTCACTGCTCATTGCTCATTGCTCATCGCACACTGCTCAACGCTCATTGCCCTATATCCCACCCAGCCGCAGGACTCCACTGCCGCCCGCGCCCCGCCCCATCTGGCCGCTTGCGCGCCCCATCCCCCCTCGATGG